AAAGCTTTTTCCAGTATCACAGGCTTAGTTAAAATTTGAAATAACCAGGTCTGGTGATCATAAAGCCACAGAAACATGTACACTTATGTTTGAGATAAACTGTTGGCTTGGTACAGTGTAGGAAAGGCATGTAGCTTTTGAATGTGGTAGTGTAGTTTTACTAGCACAGTAGGACAGATCTCTCTGATACCTGTCCCAGATCATGATAGAACCAGCAGTCTTCTAAATCAATCATGGTAATGCATGCCAAAATCTCCTTTGGGGAGGAAAAAAAGGAAAAAAGCCAAGAGAGAAGTGCAGTGCTGAAGTGCATCCTTCTTCCTCTCTTAGGCTAGCTGATTATAAGTGCTGATATTCTCTCAGTAAGCTTTTCATGTCTGGAATTCCTATCTCCTTGCAACAGTAGAAGTGCCATCAAGTTGCACGTTGAAACTGAAATAACCTTTATGCAGGAAAAGAAACCTTAACCAGGCATCAAGGAGATCAGCTGGAAAACCGGCTGGTCCCATTGGGAACGCTATCATGATAGAAGGGTTAGTTGTTGAGCAAGCTTAGTGCAAATATTTTGGATGAAATTAAGATAATAGAAAAGTTCTGTCTGGTTCTGGCAGAGAATTTGTCTGCTGAGTATTCTGCTTTTTGTCTTTTGATGGCCACCCACCCGCATCTGGTCAAAGCATGGACTTCAGTTTGTTTAAATAAATCATACACAGAACCCATACCACACTTTCCTCTCCCCAGGGGAAGCTTGCCTAAGTTGTCAAGTCTCCCAGACCTCAGCTGTTAGAAATATGGAAACAAGAGTGATGTTTGCATCCTTTAAGACCTACTTCTCATTCTCAGCCTTCACACCAGTGCCCAAGGACCAGATCCAATGATTTGGTTTTCCCATGCTATGGCAATGAAAGCTTGTTCTTAATAATAAACATTAATTTTGAATGTGACAGGTCATCCTTGGAGCTTCTGAGTATGAATTACCCTGCAGAAGTAACAACAGTGATCTTAGTGGTGCATATTGTTATGCACACCACACATATTCTCGTTTGTCTACTCATTCTCCAAATGATATTAATGTTAAAAAATTAATTGAGCATGAAGATGTTGTATTAGGCCCACAGAGCATATCATGCTCTACAGCTTTTGTAGTTAAATAATTTAAAGTGAAAATAATTTTCAGAATCATTCTATGTGTGTTTATTTATGTATGTGGAGCATTGTAAAGTCTATTTCATCTGGGACATGATATATGAGTTGGCAGACCCTCTCAATATGTCATGGGCTTGAATTGAGTCCAAAAATGTACTCATTTCAATCCATCATCTGCTGTTTTTTTCAGTGATCCATGTGGAACAGGGTTTTCTGGCAGGAAGGTGAAGCATTAAATACACACAGAGACCAGAGCACGCTTCCCCCTGCTCTGGGTGGTCTCTCTAGGACAGGATTAATGGCTCCTGTTGCTTAGCCACTGCTGCTGTACTTGTTTATGGACAAACCAAGGAGTTACATCTGCAAGCCCCTGGAAAGTGGTACATTTCTGGAGCAAAACTCATTCTAAAAGGAAATAAGATGCAGTATCTGCCTACTGTCCTGCAGGGAGTAGATTCACTTCTTTCAGCTTTGCTTCCTAATGGGAGAAGGAAAATGAAAAGCTACTCAGTGAGAAGGATATAATATTTATCCAGCTGAAATGCCAGCTGGTATGGATACTTTTTCCATTGAAATGGTTTTCTTTGCTTCATAAAGAATTCTCAGAGGCTTTCAGCTAGTGTATTTCAGAGGTGGACATATATGTGCATACACACATATGTGCAATGATGCATACAGCCCCTCCCCCAGTCTTTTTGGCAAAGGTTAGTAAAGATAGACCAGGTACAAAAATTAACTCCTTCCTGCTCGCTGTGCTCTCCTGCTCTCTAGGCAGGAGAAATATTAGCCTCAACTTCTATTTTAAAAACCATGCAAAATCAATGAAAATTCAAAAAGACCATAACCAGGACCTTAATGTTTAAACATCTATATGAATATCACAGATGAGTTAAATCTACCAGTAACTGTGCTCTTAAAAATGATGACATTAAGCAAAATACCCCCCAACAACCTAAAACCAACCCCCAACACCTCCCACTTCTACTATTGCTTCTGTTTGTTATTTCTGTAACAAGTGAGTGTGATTTATTGTACTCAATTTGTTTGAGGGTGTATCAGGATTTGGAAATAAATGTTCAGCAAACAAAGACTATGAGAAGTCACAGTGATAATTAGAAGCTGAAAGTAAATAACATTGCTTTTAGTTTCTAGGCAGATATGTTTCCTCTTACTGGTAGAGTGCAATTATTAAGACTGCTGCCTTAAACTCTTTGCTGAACTTTTGGACATAAAACAATAAGAGGAATGGCATATGAATGTACAAGAACATTTTGAAAAATATTCTGCTTGGGTATTTCTCAATAAGGTGCAAAACACCTATAAAATTCTACAGAATAATTCTGCTTTGATGTTGTTCTGTGTCATGTTCAATACAGAAACTGAGGGTGTAGTCATCACTATACCTGGAAATTTAGCAAAGCATAGTGAAGAGACAAGAGAAGAAAACAGCACAGGAGTGGCTAAGAGAAAAGGAGGAGTGTTGAAATTCATCCTTAGGAAAGGGGAGTTTCACTGATGTGATCTGTGACATCACATGATTACATACCTGTAGGTTACCTGTAGTCTGATGTCAGGGAGTAACCTTGGTGTTGTCCTCTATCAACAATTCTTCTGGATTTAAAAGCGCGCACAAACTGTCCTCAAGGATGCAGAAGGACTTTCAAATTTTCTTAAAATAGGTGGGATGTATCTTGTCCTAAACACTCACTCCTCGAAATACAGTAAGAGGCTGCAAGGCATTGAAAGCTGTTTTAGGCTTTCAAATCCAATCTTGGCAAGGGATTTTGTTCATTAGCACTGTCTCTTGTAGACATTATGGAGGCAAGGCAATAGAAATCTTTTTTTATCGATTGGGGCTGTACTTCAAGAAAACAGTAATTGCCACCCTCAATTTAATTTGTAGGTACTTATCTGGTGCCAATGTTCTGTTTTAGTATTAATGTCTTCCTGGAACTGCTAATGCGAATGCAAAAAAACTTAAATTCACATTAGCATTACTAATTGTGTTCTAGATCAGTATGAAGCTCAGATTTTCAGTTTCTAAAAGGAGCCTATAAGAAAGAAAGGGACAGACTCTTTGTCAGAGTCTGTTTCGACAGAACAAGGGGAGATGGTTTCAAACTAAAAGAGGGGAGATTTAGACTGAACTTAAGGAAGATGTTTTGTGCAGTAAGAGTGGTGAGGCACTGGCACAGGCTGCCTGGAGAGGTGTTTGATGTCTCATACCCGGAGACACTCAAGGCCAGGCTGAATGGGGATGTGAGCACCTGATGGAACTGTGGGTGTCCCTGTTCACTGCAGGAAAGTTGGACCAAATGGCCTTTAAAGGGTCCCTTCAAACTTGAACAGTTCTGTGATTCCGTGATTGTTATTTTTATTTTCATTTTTTTTACTTAAGGAAAATATAGCACATGTTTTGGAAGACTGGTCCTTCAACTGAATGTTTGTTCAGTAAGAAATTTGCAGGAAGTGGCAAGTCTAATTTATATTTTTATTTTTTGCATTGGGAAACTATATACACTGGATCTGTTTTTAAGATAAAATGAAAGGCAAAACTTCAGAAATGAAGAACAGAAAACCATTTATTGGAAAACAGAATGGATGCATATAAAAGCATTTTGCTATATACAAAGTTAGCCATGGATAAAAAAAAAAAAAGCTACTATTATGAGCTGGGCAAAAGGGAGGAGGAATGATTCTGTCAGTTAAAGTACTGGTAGTTTTTCCTAGCTTTTTCATAGCTTAATTTGCAGTATTCTGAGGTCTTTCAGTTGGTATTTTTATTCTTAGAAGTTGACAGCAAGGGTCAGATCAAACCTTACAACTAGTTGCTGTTCCAACCCTGAAGGTTCAATCAAAAGATCCTTACTGTATGATCGTTCCCTTCAAATTTCTTTTGGAAGAGTGAGGGAATGTCAGAACTTCTCTATTCCTGCATCAAGACACAGATGTTTTGATCTACAGTTGCTCTGAATCACCCAGACAAATAAAAAGAGAGCACGAATGCCCAGAAGATGATTTGGGATTTACCTTACTGAACCTGAAAGATGTATGAGGTGACAGTTTAAAATGCTTTTAAGTACATTTGTAATTAATTCTTTATTACCTTCTTTTGACACCTTCCATCTCTCTTCTGGGTTTTGTGCCACTGTTCCATCCCATCCTATGTCAAAACCATGCTGTGTGATGAAGCACTCAGAGGTAGCATTCTGTAGATCTGAATTTTTTTAATAGCATATAAGTTTCTGAGAGCATTTCAGTAAGCATCTTTGTACCATTAAAAAGCTAGCTTTCTGAACTGATTCGAAGGATTATGGTGGGATGGCTATGCGGAATCTCGAATCCTTAGCATGTCAACCACTGACTTGCATAGGAGCAACATACAGCTATGACTGAGGGCAAAAGAGAACCTGTATGTAGATGCAACCAAATGCCAGCATTTCATCATGCATTGTGTTCATACCTCCTTAAGTAAGTGCTGGCACATTGGCAACCTAGAAAACATTTGGCTCTAGCAGTTACTCAGTGGAATGACACTACAGACTGGAGCTAGTATCAATAAATATTATTGAGATCCTTCCCTTGGTAGTCTCTGAAATTTGTCAGTTCAAGTGGGATCTTATGTAGTTATTTTCTCTGGAGAAACAAGCCTGTTTAAAAAAAACAGCAACAAAAACCACCAAAAAAACTAACACGAAAAACTGGCAGAAATGAAGACATTTATATGTGCCTTCAGGTTTTAGTGAAAGCAGAGTAACAGGAAACTAAAAGACTTTGTCTTTTTAGTGGGCAGGGGTCTTCACTGTGGTGATGTTACATTTGCAGATCAGGAATGTGAGCCTGGCCACAGGCAGTTTTGAAAATAGAGGTCTGTTTATTGACATATGCCTTGGTGTTTTGTTTTAGTTTTTCTTTGTGATTATAGGAGAGTAGAAGGGAGAGAAGTAGTAATGTTTTCACACCGTGTCTTCCCAAATGAAAAACGAACTCAGTTTGGGCTTATCGATACCCAAATGATTGTCTTCATTGTCCTGCTGTTATGTTATCTTCATCCTGTGGGTAGCTGCAAAAAAAAGGAAATGTATATTCAGCCTCTTATGGGGCTACAGAATAAATGTTCTTATGCATGCGGTGTAAGAAATATCATGTGTGATGTTCAAATGATTTATTGTTGCTACTCTTTTTTCTTTTGATTTTCAACATAATTATGGGCAAATCACAAGCTGCATTTTTTCACAGTTTTGACTTACATAACCAAAGATTTTTATTAACCCGGGAATGAAGAACATGTTTTTGAAAGGGACTAAGCAGTGAAGTGATGAATGGAACTGTTTCCAAAGCATGCACATAAAGTGATATCATCTAGCTAAGGCTGATTTCTGCTCCATCGCTTCAACAGGAAAATAGCTATATTGCTGAAATGATTTGGCTTAGGCTCTATTATTTGCAGTGGCGCTTGACAGTTATGGAGTTGGAATTCAATTTCTTTCATCTAAAGCAGGTGTGCCTTAAAAAAAAAAAAATCTCTCTGCCACTTCTGTGTAACGCATGGAGGTTGTTGGCTTCTTGCCTGAAAGCATTTCAGTGCACTTATCCCATTTTCATATAGCAGAAGTTGTCCATGAATATCATCCTGGTTTAAATACATGAGTGAATTTGCTTTATCCCAAAACAAGATAATCGATGATATGGAAAGCTTTATTTTATGCTAGCACATAGATTTAAGAACCTGTTTTCAAAGGCAGTTTTATAGAAAGCTGTATTAGAAAGCACATAAAAATGTTGGTATTAATTTATTATTCAGGGCTAGAAGAAAGGTCCTTCTTGAGGGTGACGGAGCACTGGAACAGGCTGCCCAGGGAGGTTGTGGAGTCTCCTTCTCTGGAGATGTTCAAGACCTGCCTGGATGCCTACCTGTGCGACCTGCTGTAGGGAACCTGCTTTGGCAGGGGGGTTGGACTCGATGATCTCTGGAGGTCCCTTCCAACCCCTGCAATTCTGTGATTCTGTGATGTATTTTTTTCAGGTCAAATGAAAATGTATGCTTGCACGTCTGGCTCATAGTACACATTTCCATATGTCTATATACACAATTATACTAAAACACATATTTGGATTTTGAATGTATATATATTTGTGTGTGTAAATGTGTGTGTGTATATTTACACACACACAAATATATATATGAATGAAACATAAAATGGTGCAAAGGCCCGGTCCTTCTTGGTAAAAACATGAAAATCATTCAGGATGCCTGAGCATGCACAAACCAGTTTATGTGTTGAAAATATTCAGTGTTTTCATAGAATCATAGAATCATAGAATCACTAAGGTTGGAAAAGACCTAAAAGATCACCCAGTCCAACCGTTCACCTATTCCCAATAGCTCCTACTAAACCATGTCCCTCAACGCAACATCCAGTCTTTCCTTGAACACCCCCAGGGTCGGTGATTCCACCACCTCTCTGGGCAGTCCATTCCAGTGCCTGACCACCCTTTCTGAAAAGTAAGTTTTGATGAGGAAGCCATCAAATTTAAGCTCAATTAACTAATTAATTAATTGCATTCCTTTGTAGTAAGCAAATTGTCTGACTAATATGCAGAGCATGTGTAGCTCCGTTCTACTTTTATTTGACTATCCTTTTTATCTCTTATTACTTCCATGTTTTTGTAATATAATTTAGGCGAGCCATTTTCCCCTAGAACTCCATAGGTCAATAGTGTGTGTATTTACAGATGCTGAACACAGCTTGTGTAACTTGAACGTGATGATCTGTGGTTTAATGTCTCTTGATCATGGAACTGTAGAATCATGAAGGTTGGAAAAGAATTTAAAGATCACGTAGTCCAACCATCCACCTATCACCAATGCTGCCCACTACACCATGTCCCTTAGTACCACATCTACACGTTTCTTGAATGCCTCCAAGGTTGTTGATTCAACTACCTCCCTGGGTAGCCCATTCCAGTGTTTGACCACTCTTTTGCAGAAAATAATGCATGTGTCAACTGATATATACAAGAAGAAAGCAATAGCAATGTTAAAGCCACTGGCTGTAGCAAAGTGCATTTTCAGATGCTACCGAAAATCAGTAGTATGTTTAATCTTTGGAAGATCATCCCTGAATTCATTCACATGGAATGTGAATGGCTTGTTGCTGTTTGGTTTACTGGCAAATTCCTGTGTTAAAATTGTCAGCTATGATGTTTGTCTTTTTCAATTACTATTTTCTGAAATCAGTTGGACTCCTCACTATCTTTATGCTTTAGAATGCAGATTCAAGAGACAGACCAATCTAGTGCATTAATATTTAAACTGTTTTTGAAGTAAGGCAGCATCATGATAGCTTGCCATGCATTCATATCTAACTAGATATTGTTTGGCTTAAATTAATTCTGTTGGTTTAATTAATGCTGTTACTTTAATCCATTTAGAAAGAAAAAACAAACAACCTAAGAAGCATGATTGTATTAGATAAGACAACAGCTACAATATACCTTTCAACTTTCAGAAAAGCTCTCTGCTGTACATTTGACAAAGTGGTTATCCTGGTCTCTTTGGGACTCAGGGCAAAGTTTTTGGTAAATGTGGTTCCTCTGGAGAAGGGAACCATTTAGTTTGGGGTTTTCTTTGGGAGTCACCCCTTCCAACCATGAACAAATGGACTCTGATGAGTGTTTTGAATGTAAAAGTCAGTAGGAACATTTGTCTTCTCGTCTGCCGCAAAACTTCTTGCTAAATTATCTGGATCTCTCAAAGAGTCAATACAAATTAAAAATACGCAAAAGGTTTCTAAGAGAGTGATTGCTATTGTAGCAAGTTCATTAGCCTTCTGAGGAATGCGTTTGGCAGGCTTTGTTTAGCAGAACTCCAAAACAAAGTAAACCAAAAATGTCAGGAAATGAATTGCAAATCACTTGGCAATATAGATGTGAGAACTAGGAGGTAGATGATGAATAATTTGGGAAAATGTATATTGCTCCTCCAGGAGTTTTAACTGCACAGAAGGGAACTATATCAAAGATTACAGCAGAGAAAGGGGAATAACTTTATTAAACGAATATGGGCAGCACTGCTTTTCCAAAAAGACTAGCTAAACCAGCCTATAGACACTCTTTAGTCTGAGGAAAAAAAAAGAGTTCTGCAGCAAAGCTTTTTATTTCTAGCTCCCTGTATCTATCTTCATAGTGTGTTCAGCCTATCCTCTGAAAAATATACTGCTAAAATGAATCTTTCACTCTACTGTTGTGAGACTAAGTTGAAGACCAGAAATGAAGTTCAAAGGAAGAAATTGCTCTTCTAAACTGGATAAGGGGCAATTACCTTGCATCTCCTTCCCTGGGAAAAGGAGGTTGGTGAGATTGAGTTAGCTGCAGGTGCGAGTTTCCTGAGCATCCCTAGGCAGCTGCTGCTGAGGGAAGGGAAGAGGCTGCTCAACTCCAATTTAAGCCATTTTTAAATAAATGTTACATGCCACTTCTACTGTATTTTCCCTGCTATTTGAAGATTCATTACAGAAACAGAGCAAAACAAGAGTTTTAACTCCCATAGCAAAACATAGAGGTGAATCTAACATGAGAGGATTGTAAACGACACAGGCAAGGCTAATGTGTTCCGTGCCTTATATTCCATCTTCACAGAAAGGTTAAATGTGACAAAAGGTTTAGCATGTTCAGAATTAGTAAGAGAACAGGAATTCAAGGGAGGGCAGGGAAGGAACTGAATAGTTAGGATCAGATAAGTCAGATTGAAGGTCAGTTTACAAGGTGAAATTGCTGGGCAGTAAACTAGGTTTTGAATTTATGGTTTGCTAGCTACTTTAATTCCTCATACAGAAAATCTCAGTGCATAGAGGAATTTAACATGAAACAGGTTAATAGGGCTTCACAGAGTTTACCCGAACTTACTTAAAGATATGGTTTCTAAATGAGCAGTCATTAGCTTTGAGTACTCCTGAAAGACACAGTATATATCTTTAAATAAGGAAAAAAAGGAAAAAGGAGAACAAGGTGATGACAGCCAAGTGGGTATCTGGGAAGATACTAAGGCAAATTATTAAACAATAAACTCATAATCTCCTCAAGCAAAATGTGGTAAGCAGCCATTCTAGCCACCACAAGTAGGTTAGGGGGACTTCTGACATGGTTGGGGTAGTCATTCCAGTGGGTCAGACTAAATAAGAAAGGAGGTATTCCTGTCTGAGAAGCATTATCAAAGAGTAACTGTGTCAATAGTTTGCTGTCAAGATCGATACCCATAGGCCTTGACTTTTTTCTACTCTTCGTTACTGTCATTAATGTCTTGGGCAATGAGATGTTTCACATTTTTGAACGATATCACACTTGGAGACAATACAATCAGGTTTAGAATGAAAAATCTTTTTTGACACATGGGTGAAACAACTGGAAATCCATGAGACAAAATTAAATAAAGATATAATAAAGGCTGTGCTCGCAAAGGAAAAGTCAACTGCATGGTTGCCAAATGGAAAATAAGCCATTAAGTAGGAGCAGTGTGGAGCACTGAACTGGCTACAGTGCTATAGCAGAAAAATGTAAATCTCTTGTTGTAAATGTATTGACAAGAGAGTTTGAAGCCAATGGGAGACAGTTAGTGGTGTTCCTCAGCTGCAATGCTTCTAGAATGGGGAGAAATTGCAGAGATTTAGAAACGAGCAGCAGAAATGGGTTTGACACCTGATTGGTTTAAGTTGAGGAAAATGAGAGAAAATCGGGGAGGGATGGTTGTATTTGTCTTCCAACATCTAACTGTGTAAAATTCCTTAAAAGCTTGTTCAATTTGTTCACTTACAAATTAACTCTTGGCAGGCCTGTCCTGCCAGTGTTTCTGCTGTAATAAGGACATGAGTTCCTATGTTCACTATTTACTGTAATCAGCGCTAGTTAATAAGCATTATCATCTCTTATAATTTTTAAGTTTTTAGAGGGGTAGCTTGTTTAATTGCATATCGCTGTGTAATTTAAACAAGACACCCTTGGACCCATCAGTTTTATGACTAACTTTGACATTTGCACTAAGCAAAGCTCACAGATTGAAGGAAACGTGTTAATTCTCTTTTATTCAGAACATTTCCTTCCTCACATCAAAGCAATACATGTTCATATCAGTGCTGCCAATCAGTATTTCTGCAGAATGAGCTGTGAAACTGAAGAGTGCTTCAAACAGTCTTGTAAAAATGTGAGATGAATCATTGTTAGAGCGCTGTGAGTTTACATGTATCATTGATGGTTTGGCATTCTGGACATACATAATATGCAAAGTCTTTTTCTACTCTTTTTTTTTTTTTTTTTTCCAGTAGTGATTTACTGTGTAATATTCATGTGAAAAATTCATGTGAAAAAGGAAGCCTGATATTTGATTTAATATTTTCTGTGAAGTGTAACAAAGTTCCAATTCGTTTGTGAATGGAAAATATCACACTTGATACTTTCACAACTAAAACAATGCTCCAAAACTTCCCCAGTAATCTTGGTCTGGCATTTCTAAATGGCAACTCTCAACCTCTGAAGGGAAAGTCCTTTGGGTACTAAGACCTGAAGACAACAACTCTGTTTTATCTTGGATTCTTCTTGCATTTGTTTGGACTTCTCCCATTAAATCATTGATAAAATGCACGCCATATGTTCCTACTGCACAGCCAACCTGTTTGATAGATCTTTATCATCTACTCAGACTCATCTACATCAGATGCATATCAGTATTGATGTAGGAGCTATAATTTAGTAAGAAGATGTACTTGTTAAGAAAATCCATATAGTACTTTAATTATGATATTAAAATCTAATTATCGTTTACAGAATAAAATGACTATCTGAATAGATTTTGCTGCTATCTCTAATGCCTGATGAAATTGAAAGGAAAAGATGTTGATTTTTTTTTTTTCTCCTAGCCTTTGCATATAGATGAATGAGAGGGGAGGGCAGTCTGCCATTTTAAAAGCTGGAGATTGGCAAACGACTTCATGTTGGAACGAGTGGCTGGTTGAGGAAGGCAGTAGGGATGAAGAACTGAACAGTGTCTGGTGGTGAGGGTCAATTGCAATTCAGAGAAAGTTCCAGGCTTGGGCTTGACTGCATTCAGGGACATCTCTTCATGGTATACTCTGTAGATGATTAGTGGATTTGGGCAGGAGAACTGTATTAAAGATGAGCCTAAGTATCAGAATGGATACAGTTTTTTAAGGGTTAGTATTTGAAGGATTAAACTTTTCCTTAAGGGAGAATTTTGTACAGGACTTGGATGCAGCTTAGTGGTCATTAAACTTACTTTAAACAATTTTATAGCCTTATTTACATCTTCCATAAGGTTACTAAGACTTTAATCCTTTTTCCTGTAAACTATTTCAGTTACAGTCAGCTATTTTTGTCCTTCTTGCTATAAGAATGCAGTGTTTTTGGCTGATACCTTACCTTCTTTTCACATGCTGACCCAGTATAGCCACTTCTGCAAGCACAGACATTTGGTTTTATGCATCTGCTTCCAAACAGACATTTTTGCTCACAAATTGCTATAAGTGAAAGATAAAATTGTTTAGGAATACATTTATTCTAAATCTTGTAATTAGAAGGGATGTACTCTGATGCATTTGAAAATGATACAACAAAGATGTGACAAAATCAAGGTTCTCTAGTTTCACATGATGGAGGAAAGGACAAAAAGAGGTTCAGGCACTTCAAAAAAAAAAAGTTTGCCATGGGCTTTTTCATGCCTATGTGTCTGTTACATTTACAATTTTCCTTCTTTATTTTTACTCCTCACTGATGGGGAAAGAGAAGTGTGTGCCAAAGTAACCACCTTAGCTCAGCAGAAAATGGGTCAGAAAAGCTCTGATCTGGAAAGCCAGGATACATTCTGGGCTCTGACATCTGGATCAGATTTGTGCCAAAATCGATTTTCTTTTGTTCCATGTGAAATAAAATAACAGCTCTTAAAAGGATTTGAGATGCAAAGATTTGTTAAATATTTACTCCCCAGAGTGTTTCTTTTACAACAAGTAAAAGGGAGAATTTCCAGCATACTTCAAATCCAGGGTGTGTAATTTCATGTCTTACAGAATCAGTAAGGAAATCAGAAGACCTTTTAAAATATTATCTAGACTACCATTTATATTTGCAGGCATTCTGTTAATAAAAGAACCAGTGCTCTTTTTCTTAAGAGATTGAAAAAAAAAGATAATCAATAGACTTAGTCAAATTTCATCCTTTTTTTTTTTTATCCTAATCAGCAGTTTATGACATTGTTTCGGCATGGAGGAAAAAGAGCAACCAATTCGTAGGGTGGCAATTCAAGAACACACCATAGTATCTTAATTAGATCTTATGACTTAAATCTTCTATAAGTATTGCCCAATAAATATCAACAAGCGAATTCTTTTATTTCTTGCCTGGGAGACCCATATAGAAAGCTGCTAACTATACACTAGTAAGATTAAATATAAATTATTTGTCATTATCTGTCAATAAAGCATATGACAACAGTTGTCTATGCTCCAATACCATCAGATCTGAAAAAGTTTAATGTATCCCTACAAGGGACTTTTCACAAAAAAATCAACAAATTGAGGGTTTCAGTTTTTTGGTCTTAGGATCCAATTTTTGGCACAGGTTTAAAGCTTGTGCAAACTCTTTGTGTTGCAATCTGAGGTCTCAGAGATAGAACAGGCTTTTGAAATTTCTTTGGAAGACACACGGTGGCTTCCTAAGCCACCTAGATGTAATTCTCTGAGGACAGTTATAACAATGCTACAGTGACCTTGGAAGGCTGGCCACAAGCTACAACGATTCCCTTCCTTGTGGTTGTTTAGAAACAACATCTTGTAATTTTGCTGTCTTTGTCTACTGAAAATAGGTTGTCAAATCTATGAGGTTACCTTGACAGCCAGCACTCTGGATGAAGGTTGGGATTCTGCTATATTAGGGAATACTAACATTTAAATTTATATTCTGAACATCAGACTGAGAGCTAAGGGAAAGAGGAACGAAGAACAAAACTGACTGGTAATCCACACATCCTAAAAATAAGAGGCTGTACAGCCTGCTAAGCTGCTGGTCTTGTGAGTACAGCCAGATAGTGAACTGGAAAAATCTCAATGGCATTAATGGGAATGGGAATAAAGCATTTCCCACTTTTTGCCAGGGAGTGTATTCTCAGCAAAGGAGCCTCTTCGAGTTGTGTTCCACTCTACAGTGAGTTTTGTTCTAGAAAAGAGACAACTATGTATGATATTACCATGTATAACCTGACGTGAACTTGAGCACAGGTAAAATGAATATCAATTATTTTATTGGTAGTCATATAGTAAAAGCAGGTAAGGAAAAGAGTGGTCTGATCTGGAGATCCCTAAAGCTGGTAGGGATATTCTCATATGCAATGAGAGAAGGGCAGGTATTAGATAAGGTACCAGGCTTTTTTCCATCTGTGGATTCTTTGATTTTCAGATGATTCAAAAAAAACAAAAAAAGGAAAAGATTTCCTCTTTTTTTTATCCTTTCCTATCTGCTTGTCTCTCCATCTCCACCCACTGCTTCCTGCAGTAGTGCTCAGAAAGGAGAGAAGTTAAAAACATTTTGGGAGAAAATTGGAATTGAAATCACAGAGGATAATAACATAGCTGAAGTTTAAATGAATATTTCATAAATGTATTTACAAGGGATGCTAAGCCTCTAAACACTAAAAATGACACAGTCTGTGTATGCATTATCCTGTACAGATTCAGCAAAGAAAGTCATTTAGTAAGCTAAGCTTATGATAAAATTATAATCAATAAATGCCCATTACAGAAGGAGATTTATCCCTGAATGTTAAAAGAACAGAGCTATAATTTGCATGCAAATGACAATCTTTCTTACGAGTTTTCTTTTTTTAAGAATTGAAAGGGTTACATAGGAAAACTAGAAGCAAGCTTGTCTGAGATGTTGTTCAAGACAGAGGGGGAGAGAATGAGCTTGAATGTTGAGGAAATTATAAGGCTTTAAGCTTGACACTTATAACATGCAAATAAAGAGAAGATATTCTGAAGGGCAAATGAGAAGCCAGTATGGGTTCAATAATATTAGAACAGAAGACAGCAGCATGAATTTTAATGATGAAGATCCTTCACAACTGTAACCTTCTTATATTTTATAATTAATTATTAGAATTATACCTTGATCCTGCACTCTGATCCTTAACAGACTTATATCCTTGGCCAAAAGCCTGCTGACTTTACTGGCTTGTGTTTTGTCTAAATTTGTCAGGGCAGTCAGATTGTACCATCAGGTCTTCACTGCTTTGGTCTAATAGTTCTTTTCTAGCTTAAGAAAAAGAGAGATATGAGTTAACACCTCAGCAGGGAGGACCCACAGGTGTGGGGCTTTAGAATGGGTGTCCAGTCTGAGATGGAAAGGAGATCACTGATGGGGAAACATAGTGATCCTGTGATACTGTGTTTTCCAAGAGGGAATTTTTAGAGCATTTGTGCTGCTGCTATGAGTCTATGAAGCTGCTCCTTTCTGTGGGTAAGACATTGCGTATTTCAAATGACATCTTTTAGCCCGTTTTACTGAAATGTAATTTCCCTGCATTTGCAAGACTGTCTGAAACTTGACCGTTACTCCTTAAACTATGACCACCAAAGGCATAAGAACTTATCAAGGATAATGTGTGTATTCCACAGCACACCGTATTTGTTGGGACAAATGACCTATTTCATTGATTCTCTTTCAGAAGCTATTCTGTGCAGTTACAGATGAGCGGGGAAGAAAACCATTCTCTCAACTGACCTCTTTATTTGCAATCTGATAAAAGAGGACTATTGGATTTTGTCCATTACTGCTGAAACAATGTCTCCTGAAAGTCTCTTTTACCTACTCTTACTCTTGCCAAATTCTGCAGTACAGTGGTAGCCAGAGACTGGTAAAACTGTAAGAAAAATAGCCTGCATGGACATCTCTGGAATGTCGCTGAGTTTGACTGATCATAGCACTGAGAAATTCATAATTCACCACATTAAATGAAATGAGATTTCATTGCACATCATTGCAGAAGAGGCAAAGTATTTGCCTGCATGATTGCACCTCCAAAATGCAGCAGACCTGTTCCAAATTAGATACAAGCTTCATAACGTATGGTGCTACATCTGAAAACAGAGTTCAGTCTTGCTCTCTGAAGCATTTTCAAAATACTGTAGAGATAAAATTATTCTGACTTGGACAGTGCCAATCTTCATTGCAACAGAACAGAAAATCTGCTCTAGGTTACTGTCAATGTATCGTTTGCTGAAAGGCTGAAGGATTTTCAACTGTCACTTATAATACAGATCTATGTACTTCTTTCTGAGTGAAAGTTGGCAGGAAAATAGAAGGCATCACTATTTGCACTTGCAAGTACTTAATTATTAGTGGCCTAAACTCAAGAAATGTCATCTTTTGCTTTTTTGGGTTTTACAGAAGACTGGGGAGGAGATCTCGGGAAGATTTTAGTGGCAGCTATATCTACTGCTGCCTCCAAACAGCCTGGGCAGTTCATGTAAGCCTGGGCCATCTCTGTCATCTTGATAAGGGCAGCTGCATGAATTAATAGGCTGAAAGCAAAGAATGAAACTGGGATTATCTGAGTCCCTGCTGTGCCTGAACAAGTCCCAAGATCACAAACCAGCCCAAATTCCTTCTGGATCGTAGGGGAAGGTACAGTGATTGCTGGAAAAACTTAGCTGGAATTTCACTTGTGTAAGGAAACTGACTTTTTGCTCTATTAAACTCCATCTGTTAAGGGAGTGTCAGAAGCAGGGGAACCTTGCAGGCTGAAATTCATGAACAATGCAGTTTGCACAGGGAAGTAGTACAAGGGGTGAAATGCCCCTTTGCAGAAATGCAGTGGTTTTGGGAGAGGGCATGGATTTTGCCCACTGGTAGTGTAGGCAGAGTTTTGGGATGCGTTCAGCCACTTTTTTCACAGTGCTCTGGATTTGGATGGTTGGACTCCCATGTTAAAATACTAACCCAGACTTGCTTTCAAGGGTTACACTTCTGTGCAAAACTTTGTACGTAACGCCTGTGAGGATGAAGACTTTCTTGTTCCTCCACTTCCTCCCTGCCTTGTTGTGAATACCCTGGAGCAACATTATAAGACATAACCATCTGCTCTCTGACTACAGTCGTCTATTCGTCTATAGTGAAATTCCAACCATTTGGTGGTTAGCTGGGTTTGCTGTGAGACCTCAGAGTTACCAGTATCTCCTTTTGGGCACAGAGCTGATTTAATTGCACACTGCAACAGAAACAAGGGGGGGAAAAAAAGACCAGTAAAAACAGGGTGACTATCCAGAGGAAATATTCAAAGGAGCTGATTAAATAGATGAAAAATGGCCCAGGCTTGTGTGCCTGCGTTGTGCAGCAGAAATGGGGAATGACAGTAAGCCTTACTTGCCTTGCACGGGAGCAAGCATGATTTGTTTATTTATTTAATAAACTGACTCAGGAATATATCATCAACTAATAAATAACTTTAAACATTACAATGTTTGAACTAGCAGACAGCTGGCACAAAGAAACAATTACACAGCCATTGGGATTTAACTGACAAAAGATTTCCATAAGTAATTACGCTCTGTGAGTGTGAGAGGAAAGAAAGATTACCCTTTTGAAGGGATATAATGCTTTGATATTTTCCTCATGACCTTTTAATGTAAAACTAATAACATGCACACGCTGCAGTGACCCTGCATGCAATGGGCAATAATGGGTCTCTTTCTGCTCCAAGTTTTCCACTCCCCATGCATAAAAAGCCATCTCAGTGGTCAGACCGAATGCGTAATATATACAGGGTTGGACTCCTAGGTTAGCAGGCACACACAACTTCTGTCTACGTTTAAGGCCATCTGGATATGCTGAATAGGATATTGCATTTCCTATTGTCCCTGACCCTCTTTTTTTTTTTTTTTTTTTTTTTTTTTATATAGCCTTTCAAATAGTTGAGTTTAAAATCTGCTACTTTTTTTCTGATGGAAGTAAAGGCTGAGCCTGTGCTCATAGCAATAGTTTTACTGACAGCATACAACACTTCTGACAAACAAGAGAATTTACATGCTATCATCTGATTGTTGCCCTGTCCGTGTAAGGTAAACATAGTAGAAAAGTGGATGTGTGAATATCTCTGATGCAACAGGTATGGCTACAAGCCTGTGATAATGAGAGCAGCACTTACGGGTTTGGCACAGCATTCCCACCCATCCTTCAGGGCACTCGCAGATGTTTGGACCTATACATTCTCCACCATTCAGGCATTTCTGCAGGCAAACAGCTGGACAGTGACACGAGACAAGTGAGAAGATGTAAACAACATATCCAGATGTTCCAAAGCTGTCTGAAAGAATGACCTGCAAGGTTTTATTTCATCTGGCTAATTTCCAAAGGAATAGATGTGCTCTCTTCATCAGATAGTTTGTATTTAGGAGTCTTTGATATTTGCTTCTTAAGAAATGTATCTTTGATGACTGCCTTCTGGTAGCTTGGCTATTTCTCATGTTCAGCTCACTATCAGTTGAGAATACTCTCCATATGATGTGTTCATCTGGTATATTCATGTGTGTTAGATGCATATAGCAAATTCTACATTGCAAATAAGTTATATCCCATAGAAGGGTTTGGTATATTTATTGTCTATAGTATTTCTTCAGGAATCCAAAAAGTAAATGCATGTTTTTATGTGCACACATGAGAAACACATATTTCCTGCATCATTTCTGAAGAAATTATAATTTCAAAACACTGGTTCTGAAATCATACTTACTACTAGGATCCAAAGATCAAATATCCTGTATTTTAACCTGGTGTACTTACAGCGTGTCATCTGGATTATAAATTTATTCAGTTTATCTGTCAACATCATAGTAACAAATAGCCACATAAGGAAAAATACTCCTTGAAAGTATTTTAAAGTGAGAGTTTTTTTAATTCTGTTTTTATAATGGTAAGTCAGGTATGGTAGAGTTACAGAGTGAAAGCACATCTTTCCTGAAATTATGCACCAAAATGTAGCTGGTGACCTTGAGAGTACATCAGTTGGCAAGGCTTTACAGCAGGCTTTAAGTAGTTCTGTATCTTGAAATATATGGCATTTCTCTGTAAAATACAGCAAAATATGTGAAGGTATTAAAACAGAAAATCAATGCTTCAAGTTTAATACTATAAAAAATGAATTTCCGTAACAGGATGTATAAGAGATACATAAAGCAGAGCCAGGGTTCCCCTACAAAGCTTTCTTGCTTATAGCATTGTCTATTGCCTTTGATTGAAACCGTCTTTCTTCAAAATGCTGAAGGAGCAAAACAAATTATTTTCACTATAGTGTTTTTTAATATTAAGACAAGGTTACAATTGATGCTGACTGGCCTAAGTAATGAGTAGTGATCTGTTTGATGGACAGTAGAAATGCTTACGTTTATTACAGTGCTTTCCTCTCCAACCAGATGGGCAGTCACAAACATTTGGGCTTACACATTTCCCTCCATTCATGCACGCAGGATCACAGACACCTGCAGATACATAGAAATGAAGAATATAGTAACTAGAGAAAAAAGGAAGATTTTACTGGAGACTTCCTTACATCTTAAAGGCTGTGGATGAGTGCCCTTTCCTGGAGGCATTCAAGGCCAGCAGGATGGGGCAACCTGGTCTAGTGGGTGTCCATGCTTATAGCAGGGGGTTGGAACTAGATGGTCTTAAAGGTGCCTTCAACCCAAACCATCCTGTGATCCTATGAGCTGCCTGCCTCACTAGTAAAAGAGAAAGGCATTACTCATGAGGATTCTCTGGAAACCATTAAGAACTTTTCTGTAGCAGCTGTGGATGCACCAAATACTTATTAAAGCTTTTCCTTCCTGATTGAAAAGCATATTCTCAGGTGTACATTTGGATAAGAAAGAAGGATAGATTGGCTTTATGCAATTTTTGGGAACATTTTTTGCATTCAATCTAACTTAAAGACTAAATAGATCTATTATTCTGTGACCTTTTTGCACTAGTATTTGTTAAAGTACTTATGTTTTTATAATGCTTGTTCACATGAGTAAGATGCTCAGCTGTTTCTTCCAGCCAGAGGAAACCTGATGACTCTTTGTTAGATTTCATTAGAATTCCAATTGCTAATTTTTGCATCTCCTATCAGACCCTGTCTTTACGAACATCTCATGAAAAAGTCTCACTGCGGTCCCAACAAAGCAAATCCTGTGACTGTGATGTTTAGATAGAGGTAGATGCTGCATGCAGGAACCCAAAGTCCCCATCTACTCTTTCTCTTTGAATGTAAGAGTAACTGGAGGAAGTAAGTATGAGTGGTGGTACAGTTCAGAGATATGAAAGTGCTGGCATGATGGGCATAGAAATGATTTACCTTTTACGTACAAGCATGGAAGAAGGTGTTTGTATTTGATAACTGAGTGGAAGGGAGGAAAGCAGTGTTACCTAGTAAACAGACTGGGGAATGAAAGGAGGAGTCTGACAAGGTTTTGAAATACACTTCTGTGGAATGGCTTCTGCTCTTTTTTAAGCTTTAGGGGCACAGTGGGATTTTGCAGCGTCCCATTGCTGTTAGCGGCAGTCAGCAGCAGTTCTATCTGCACACAGATCTTCTCCAGGTACCAAGGGGCTGGCATTTAAAATGTAGCACCATGGTACTTGTGTTAGCCTTGAGATTGTGATATGACATTTGGCACAGCAGCAGTAAGACCACCTCTTCAATGCTAATGCTGTAGTAATTCTGGTTTTCACGATATCTCACTGTGCAGAGCTCTGAACGTACTGTAACACACCCACAGCCTCAAAATAGGAATTATGTTTAAAAAATAGCATGCAGATAAAACCAACCAGTGTTATCTGGTGGGAGAATGATCTTTGGTTCCTCTCTTAAGCATATGATCAGGCATCTTTAGATAAGCAGTTTTAGATTCTCTGATTATTCCTCAGAATATCTATGGCAGTGAAGAATGTGATGCACCGAGTTATTGTTTTTGTGGCTTCTTGTGTCCTGGTCACTTGCTCTGTTCCTTCAGTGTAGATGAGGCACTGGCAGCTGTAAGAGCTCAGTGGCTGCTCTTACTTGGCTGCTAAATTTGCATTTTGCTCTGTGCCAAAGCTCACAAGTCTCTCAGCATGGTGACCTGCCCTCAGGCAGGGCAGACTTACCCATGCTTATAAGGGCTGCTTGGACCCAAGCCCTAAAACTGTCATCTTCTTTCTCCATTTCTCCTGATCCATACTGTAATCTTGGCATCTGCTTACTAAGGCTAACAGGGATCTAGAGTTCTTGCTGAACTCTCAGAAAGTGCCGCAATGCCAGTCAAAACCTAGATGAATTTAAGGAGTTATGACAACTGTAACTCTGAGTTCATCTTTCCTCCCCCTCGCAACTCCCCTTTCCTTCTCTTCTGTTTTTTGATCTCTGATCACCCATAACAGACTTCTGACATCCAGTTTTATATTGTGCTGTGTTTGGCTTCTAGTTTCAATTATAAAACAGCTTAGATATTCACTATGTAGAAAACTGACCTCAAACTATAAATCTCAGATCTAGATTTCAAATAATTCCCAGCTTTATGATACTCACAGACCATAAAGTCCTCATAGCTGACCTGCTGTTCCAAGATCATATTGCTGAAATCCATGGATTTCATCTGGAGACCAGAAGAAATGTGGACCCTATCCAAGCTCAGTGGTACTTGTTCAAAAAGAGGTTTCTAATTTTTTTGTCATTTAAATTTTTAACGTACTTTTCACCTAATACAAAACATTGCACTGTTTTCCTGTGGTATCTGAGATATTCTATGACAGCAGATGCTTCCTTTGGTTACTGGAGGGGAGTCTAACTATTGCACTTTTTGATTCAGTTTTATTTTTCAGTTTATATATAACTGAACTTCTTCGGGCTCAGTTTGCCTTGTAATTCAGTAAAACTTAAAGTAACAGGGGAGGTCTGGTCTTGGTCTGAGTAAAACATTACAGTTCAAACAGATTTTCAGCTTGGGATCTATTTCTCTCGTTGTTCAGCTGCCTTACAAATGAACAAGGAACCATGAAAATAGAGCACTAACTTCTTTAATGTTGCTTATTGCTTGCAGCATCTGTCACTTTAGGCAATAAATCTGAGGAAGTTCAATTCCAACAGAACTAAGAGTAAAACTTAAGTGGGAAATGTAAGCTCAGGGCCATACCTGGTTGGACAGGCACTCTTGGCTCTCTGCCTTCCTGGGCAGACACTTTCTCAACGAGATGGGGAATACACAAGGCACCTTTATGTAAATGCATGCAGTGTTATCTCCCCTCCTTTTCTGTCTGATATCTCTACCTTGTTCTCCCTTTCTTTGACTTTCTTAAATACAATTCCATCTCAATACCCATCAGGCAGACTTCAACATTTGTTGATTATAACTAGTTCTGATCCTTTCTAGTCCCACTCCTTGGCCTCTGTGGAGGAGCTCCAATTTCAAAATAGCAAACAAAAATGTTACAGCCTCTCACAGGAAAACTAAATAAATTATCAGACACTAGGAGAGCAAATCGAATTATTGTAATCCTCCCAGGCGCTGGCATGACTTTGAAAAGTCTCACATTTTTTCCCTCTCCTCCCCTTGAAAAATGCCTAGCATCCTGACCCAAAGACAACAGGGGTTTGATATGTTTTCCACCTGACTTGGGAACCAGCCTTAAGGGAATGGATGGATGGAAACACATTTGCGTCTTCTCTTTGTTGCAATTTGATAGGGCATATCACTGGGGGTGGAGAGAGCCCTGTTCTAAGTATCCTGAATGCAAGCTTGCTAGAAGTCAGCAAGTATCACTAAAGCCTTAATCCCATTCCTTGTGGTGTCAACGTCAGCATTTCTATGCTTTTCAGTAAGAACTGAAGCACAGAATTTTGCATGCAGTGTTACTCAATTCTATAAGGCGTGTGAAGGCCACTATTTAAAACTTCCATAATATGGTGCTTTTTTAAAACAGGCAAGTTAGATAAGGTAAGCCTGTGTTGGAGGTTAAAGTAAAAGCATGATTAGTTGCTGTTTTTCAGGTGAGGGTTGATTTGATAAGGTAACAGGTGGCAGGAGGTGTTAAGATAAAACATAGGCATTGTGTAGAACATTGTACAAAATGTAAGCAGTTCCACTTGTACTGAATGGGACTTACCAGTTGCTAAGTTTCTGTTGTACAGTTAGTTCTCTTTGATGGCTTTAGAGCACTTTGACCTTACAATCACTTAAAATTTCCTGTTACCCTCTAGGCTGGCCTCACCCAGCGAAGTGCTTCTTGCAACTCTTTTTATCATGGAACTCCACAGTTACCTGTTCACCTCTAGGTAGCTAACCTCTTGCTTTGTCAGCCAAAGAGAAGAGTTTTAGTACAAAATAATTATTTCCAGAGATTACTAAAAATCTATGGGGAAAAAAAAGTTGTCTCTAAAATCCAGTAGGTACTCCTGATGTAAGTAGCACTTACAGTTCCAGAGTCTTCCTTTCCACTTCTCACAACAAATTGACAATAAACATTCCCTTAAAGCACAGAATCATAGAATTCTTATGGTTGGAAAGGAACTCTAGGATCATCTACTCCAACTGCCAACCCATCTCCACCCACTAATCATCTCCCTCAGTGCCACATCCACACTTTTCTTAAACACCTTCAGGGACAGTGACTGCCACTTCCCTGGGCATTCTTTGCAGCATGCGTAGTATTAAGCAAAATATCCCTGCTATGCAAAGTGAAGGGATATGCTTTTGGTATGCTTTTCTGCATACACTATAAGCAATTAAGAGCAATGTCTTGTTCAAATGGTGACAATATCAATCAAAAGTCTCATCAGTCTACAGTGATTAACAGAAGCCAGATATTTCCTTCAGACTCATTTTTCACTATGCATTAGCAGATAAACAACACTTTAGGTTGAACCCTAGCCACTTTTCAATGCAAGTACACCATTGGACCTTTTTAACTAGAAATGGGTAACAATAAGTAGTGAAAAGTTTGCAATTTTGTCAAATGTCTTCATCACTGCCCTTATAATGTCAAAACAGAGGAGATACTAAATCAGGCTCCCAAAATCTTAGCAAAATGAGATTTTCTGAAATGTTTCAGGAGTACCCTGTGGTGCAGCTGAACATCCATGTGCTTCCCTGACAGTATGAGTGCCCTGACTTCTTCTTTCTGAATCGAGAATTACCTGTCATCGTGTATCCTGAGCCAAGCTGCTGATGAGGAGACAATGTGTCACACTGCAGTGCTGATTAGAAGATGCAGTTTTCAAGAGAACTTTTCTTTTTCCCCCTGTAGAAGCTGACAAAATTGACCTGTTTCTGAATGTATTTTGCCTTTGTATGGAAGAGAGAAAATAGCCTCAAGCAGTAACATCTGTGTGGGCCAGCTAAGGTAATGCATCAGGCTACATCTTCACTGACAAAGAACACAGGAAAGTGGCCAAAAGAACACCTACTGGTAGATACAGACTTCAACGTGTCCTTTAAGTCACCATCCCTGTGCTGTTATTTGT